AGTCAGGAGGGGCTGCGTCGCCTCCTACAACGGTTTCCCCAAGTCATGGCACCAAGCTCAGTTCAGCCAACCGCACCAAGCTCACATCCGGCTCCCATGGCAGCTCGACAGCAAGCAGAGTTTCCGAATCCAGCTCCCGATAACATGTCAGGTCCACTGAATGCAGCGGCTGGAGTTCAGCACCCCATAGCCCACATAGGCAACCAGTCTTATCAGGTATCTGCTTCATTGCTCGAGTGGGAGGCATCGCTCAGGGTTGGCCTCATTCATGGACACCCAGGCACATACCCCCAGGGACAGGGAGGTGCTGACCTGACTGGTGGACCCCCTGGCACATCCCCCCAGGGAAGCTCTGGGGGCGCCAGCAGAGAGGTGGTGTGCCTATCTGACGACGAGTAGTAGTATAGCCTAGAGTAGCAGTGAACTTCTGGTTTTGTGGGTTGGTTGGTGTAATGTAGAGGCATGGGTTGGAATAGAGCAGCGATATGGTCGCCCACAGGACCCCTTTAGCAGCAGCATCCCTTGAAAGCAGGAGATGTCTGGCTCCGGTGAGGGTAGTGTGCATCATCAGGCATTTTGGGGGGCCGTGGCGGCAGCAGCAGAGTAGTGAATAGTGATAGCATATGGCACGAGACAGAGAGCATGAACCCTAATCCTAACATAGAGCGCAGTCACTGTATATTTTCTTGTGGTTTCATAGACTGATGATGATGATTGTTTGGTGCGGGGCTGGAATGATCATTAGTCAGAAGTACTGTGTTTATTTATATTGTTTGGCGCGGTCTGGTTGTGGTTGGGATATTGGTACATATGTTATCTGCATGGGTGTTGCTGAACCTTTGACCTGAGAAATGTCATGTGTGGTTGTGCCTCGGATCGGATCTGGTGAATGTGTTGGCATGGCATGTAGCTGGGACTGGGAGGGTCACATGCCGGCCGCCTGCACATGCATGGGTGAGTGATGGGGAACTGGACTCAAGTGAAGTGGGGCATGTGGAGGAATGCCAAGTGTGTCTAGTAGGTAGGGTCGTGTAAGCAGCAGAGCAGGGGAGTTTTGTTTGTATAAATGCTGCTGGGCTGCCTACATGCGGTATTCTTTTTCTTTTGTGCATACGGTTTGTGTGGGTTGCACACTGCTAGCAGGGGGTAGCAGTATGGTTCATTCGTGCATATGCTGGGTGTTGCTGTAGGCGCTGTGTGGAAACATGTTGGTCTGGATTTTGTGTGGTATACTGGTATGGGAGTAGTATGGTACATTGGGAGTTTCAAGTTTGGGACTGGATCACTGGATGCTGCTGCTGCAGGCTGCAGGCTGGTACTGGTAGCGCTAGCTGGCACAAGATAAAGAGCAGCAGCAGCAAGTACCTGGCTCCGGGTGTACATGTACTGTACTGGTTGGAGTACAGTACACGTGAGAAGAATGTGTGCCGCGGTGCAGAAAATGAGGCGGTTTGGTGACGGACTCCCCGTGCCGGTGGCGGTGGAAGGAAAGGAAGGGTGGTCAATCTGAGCGGTGCAGCAGGGGCATTTACATATTTGAGAAAATTCCTTCGTTGCCATTTAAAACTATAACCATCTCTTTATTACCATCCAAAAATATATTATCCCTTGATTGCCATCCATTTAGATTTTTTCTTCCCTTGGTTGCCATTCCCGTCCATTCATACGTAACGACGTCACCTACCCAGTCAATCGGCTGTAGGCACCACCGTTAGTCCCCGACCCCTCACGAATCGGAGCCGACGGCTTAAATGCCGCTGCATGATCATCACGTCCCCGTCGGTGCGGAGGCTCCTCGACAACGAGGGCGGCTGGGCTCTTCGGGACTCCCTTGCACGATTTACTAGGATTCGGGAAGAAAGAAAACTGGTACAATGCGCTTAGAAAAGCCCTTTGGCCGCAGAAGTCCGCTTAGGCTGCTTGCGAGCACCACCAGACCGCCGGCGACGCGCATTACCATGCCGTGGGAGCCATCATGTGTCGTAGGTCGGCCTTGGTGCCCTCGCCATGCCACCACCACCACTGTCAAGTCCTCATTGTGGGGTCCGACGCTTCCGCTTTCAAGATGGGATTTGATGCATTCCGCCGCCGACCACCACAGAGCTCCCAAAGATGGATGCCTCTGCCGATGAGCATCACAGCCAGGCAGCGCAAGTGACAGCACCATGACCCAGAGCCCGGCCGTGAGCCCGCCTGCCGCTTTCCGCTACTCTTGTACTCTCCCTCGGCGCGCCCCCACTGCCTCACATGCGTGCATTGTCACATTCACATGCCTGTGTGCGCTCTCGCCCGCGGACTTGTGCGATCTTGTGCTGACATGATTCAAGACTGCAAAAAGGCCGCAAGGCTGACTCCTCATTGCCCTCAAGACGCTTCACAGTAGCTACCCATGGCCGAAGAATCGTAGCCGCATTGCCATGCGCCAAGCTCATAGCAAGGCTGGCTTCACGCTGCAGCCGCCACTACCATTTCCGGGCGCTGCTTCCGCGCCTTCATGGCGCTACTCATGTGGCAGCACCGCCTCATGCGCTTGGCCACTTGCGACTCTCCCCACCGGCACGCGGCGGGCCTGGTGTTGGGCGTGGGGAAGAAGAGGAGTCGGCGAGCGGATCATGGCAACGGCCGGCCGCAGCATTTGACCACGGAGCTCCAAAATCCCTCGCCGCCGGTGAACGCGGGGGCAGAAGACGAGCTCCACTCCGGTCGCTTTGAGCCACCCATGCCGGCGGCCACTCTGTGCGGCTGACATAGCCACCACACAAGGAGGGGAAGGTGAGAAGATGGTGGGAGGAAGGGATGATCGTGTGGGCCCGCATGTCATTGAGTGGGGGAGAGGGAATTTGACACCGTGATCCAGAAATTTGACAGAATGGCAACCAGGGAAAGCAGAAACGTAAACGAATGGTAATGAAGGAAAGATGTATTTTTGGATGGCAATTAAAGGATTGCTATAAGTTACGGTGGCAACCAAGGAATTTTCTCTACATATTTACCGCTGTTGCGGATGACATTTTATATTGTCTTACTGACGTATGAGTCATTAACGTGGTATTTCCTCACGTGGCCATGGTAAATATGTAAAAATTCCCCTCCTTCGCCCTCTCCTCCCTCGTTATTGCAGTGCAGTGCAGTGCATCCAATTTCAAAGCCCTATTACTCTCCACGACGCTCCTCTCCTTGCACAGAGAAAAAAGAGGGCAGTGCAGGGCCGGGGCGGGCGCGTGAGGAAGGGAAGACGACGACGGAGGGGGGAAGAGGAAGACGACCAAGTGCTTGCTTGCTGCTCCTCCGCTCCCTGTCGTCTCTGATGTGGTTAGTACGACCTGCACCTCCTCTCCCCTCGGGCCTCCGCCGCATTCCTCCTCCACATCTGCCGGCCATGGCCTCACCGACGAATTGAATTAAATTCCCCTGCGCCTGCGGCCTGCCCTCACCGGCTCCCCGTCTGGGTGGGAGAGGGAGACTGGCCGGCGGGGCTGTGTGTCTTGTGTGTGTGAGCTAGCTTCCCATCATCCCAGCCTTGCTCACAGTTTTACTAGTACTAACTACTCAATCCCATGTGTGGAAGAAAAGAAACACCACCTGCCTGTTCTCCTCTTGGATAATCGGTGCGGTGCATCCATCTTTCTTCAATCTCTCTGATCGTGTCCTGCTCTGTGTGTGTGTGTGTTGTTGCCTACTGCTGCTGCCGCCTACTGCCTCAAACCAATCGTTCTTTTTCCTTGTTCCTTGCGGTTGCTTTCGGCACTGATCTGGTTGGTAGCTCTTGGCAATCACAGGCAGTGAGGCAGGACCCACTCCACTACACAGGGGAGCCATCACTCGTGTCGTGTTCACGTCGGCCTCTCATTCACCTCCCCCTGCCTGCCCCCTCGTCGTCCAAGTCGACGACCAAATTCAGGCCCATCCATTCCTTTCATCCATCTCCCGGTGATTTGGTTCCCCTTCCAGCTCCCACCTCCACCACAGATTTAGAAATGGACGCCTCCGATCGACCCTCCGTCCTCCTTGCCAGTTACCATAGGCAGGAGAACAAGTGAAAGCAGAATGAGCACCAGAGCAGAGCAAGTGAGCAAAAAAAAGGAGATGCCTTTCCGGTCCGGGTGGCCTTTTGCTTCTCTCATCTCATGTCGTCTCTGACAGAATGATGCTCACATGCGTTCGTGAATCATTCGTCCTCTGCATTCACACGCAGCTACTACTAGTTTAATCTCTTCGAGGCCGAGGAGATGTGGTATGGTAACTTTCGTTTATTCATTCATTCAACAAACGAAAAAAAGAGAGGATAGATACCCTTCTTTTTACCTCTCCAATGCGGTCACTGCTGACCCACACACGTGTGACTGCCCGTGGTATACTGGTATGGGAGTAGTATGGTACATTGGGAGTTTCAAGTTTGATATGGGAGATGCCTGTTCGGTTGGCTGGGCTTGTTCGTAAATTTTCAGACAGAATAGTATTTTTTTCTCACATCAAACCAGTCAGTAGTATTTTTTCACGAACCAACAGCGATTCAGCTCAGCCAAAGGAACAGGCTCGGTGCTGGTAGCGCTAGCTGGCACAAGATAAAGAGCAGCAGCAAGTACCAGGCTCCGGGTGTACATGTACTGTACTGGACGTGAGAAGAATGTGTGCCGCGGTGCAGAAAATGAGGCGGTTTGGTGACGGACTCCCCGTGGCGGTGGCGGTGGAAGGAAAGGAAGGGTGGTCAATCTGAGCGGTGCGGTGGCAATTGGCATGCGGTGCAGCAGCAGCATTTGCGTTGTTCGGCCTTAGACTGACTCCAACGATGTAACCCAAATCAGATACTCATTTCACCGTTTAGATAACGCACAGTATATAAAGCTACGCACCTCATTCTTGACCTCTCCAATGGATGAGCTCCTAATCCCGCAAAAAAAATATCCATGGCGCAGAGGCGCTGGTGGGCTCGGGCGCGGGCGCCCCTCGGCGTGGCGGCGCACCGGCGCAGGCAGGGCCCGGCGGCGCTCTCTCCTTCGTCAACTCCTTCCGCGGCGGCCCGCCTCCTCCACTCCACTCCTCCCCAAATCCGCCTCGCCACGCCGCGCCGCTCTGGGCGCTCCTCGCCTCGAGCCCGCCTCGCCCCGCTGGCCGTGCTCCGCCTCGCTGAGTCGAGCCGGCGGCGCGACGGTCGCAAGAAGGGACGCCTCCCCTAGCTCCGGCTCCGGCTGCGGCTCCGGTTCCGCGAAGAGCACACCTTGGCTGATGCCACTACTGCTTTTCCTAGACGTCGGCTTCGGTGGGAGAACGGGGAGCGGGAGGAGCACCCCGCCGCCGAAGAGCTCGTCGACGCAGGAGGGCGAGGCGGCGGGGTTGGGGTGGAGTGGCCAGAACTCGAACTCCGCGGAGGAAGACGCGCTGCTGCTGCTCCTCGCCTCGGCGGCGTCCATTGTTGCCTGGGAGTGGGAGGAGCCGGCCGCTGTCTTCTTGCTCCGATTGCTTCGGCTCCCTGCGAGGTGGGGGAAGGGGAAGGGGAAGCGGAGGGGAGAGGAAGGTGGGGAGGTGGCGGCGCGCGGCTTTGTTTGCGTCGTCTCTCTTCAGCGACACAGATTTGCCAACCGAATTGCCGAGTACCCAGAATGGGTATCTGGATTTGGTCTTCGGTTGGAGGCGTGTTTTGTACCTAAAAACACTGTGCATCACGCATTTCTGCGTTTGGGTAGGCCGTTGGAGACAGTCACGTATGAAGTGTGCAGCAGTGCACGGGCCTGGCCGCTTCACCTCCTTCACCCTCCTCCCTCGTTATTGCAGTGCAGTGCATCCAATTATTACACAGTAGTACTAGGCTACTAGGTAGCTAGGACTCGGATCCACGACCTTTTCCCCTCTCCACGACGCTCCGCTCCTCTCCTCTCCTCCAACAAGACAAGGAAGAAGACAAGCTAGGGAAAGGCCCCAAGGCAAACGCAGCGGGGCGTGAGGAAGGGAAGACGACGACGGCGGAGGGTAGGAGGGATCGATGGAAGAGGAAGACGACCGAGTGCTTGCTTGCTGCTCCTCCGCTCCCTGCAGTCTCTGACGAGGTTAGTACGACCTGCACCTCCTCTCCCCTCGGGCCTCCGCCGCATTCCTCCTCCACATCTGCCGGCCATGGCCTCACCGACGAATTGAATTGGATTCCCCTGCGCCTGCGGCCTGCCCTCACCGGCTCCCCGTCTGGGTGGGAGAGGGAGACTGACCGGCGGGGCTGTGTGTCTTGTGTGTGTGAGCTAGCTTCCCATCATCCCAGCCTTGCTCACAGTTTTACTAGTACTAACTACTCAATCCCATGTGTGAAGAAACGAAACACCACCTGCCTGTTCTCCTCTTGGATAATCGTGTCGTGCTCTGTCTGTTGTTGCCTACTGCCTCAAACCAATCGTTCTTTTTCCCTTGTTCCTTGCTGTCGCTTTCGGCACTGATCTGGTTGGTAGCTCTCAAACCAATCACTTTTCCCTGTTCCTTGCAGCTTTCCACTCCATCTGGTTGGTAGCTCTTGGCCATCACTGTGTCGTGTTCACTCCACTACACAGGGAGCCATCACTCATGTCGTCCCGTCCCCTCTGCACCTGCCCCTCGTCGTCCAAGTCGACGACCAAATTCAGGCCCATCCATCTCCCGGTGACTTGATTCCCCTTCCAGATCCCACCTCCACCACAGATTTAGAAATGTACGCCTCCGATTGACCCTCCGACCTCCTTGCCAGTTACCATAGGCAGGAGAACAAGTGAAAGCAGAATGAGCACCAGAGCAGAGCAAGTGAGCAAAAAAAAGGAGATGCCTTTCCGGTCCGGGTGGCCTTTTGCTTCTCCCATCTCATGTCGTCTCTGACAGAATGATGCTCACATGCGTTCGTCAATCATTCGTCCTCTGCATTCACACGCAGCTACTACTAGTCTACGGCGTGTTTAGTTCACCCTAATTTCAAAAAAGCTTGCTATAGGACCTGTCACATCGAATGTTTGTGGTCCGTGTATGGAACATTAAATGTAGACGAAAAGATAAACTAATTGCACAGTTTGGTGGGAAATTACGAGACGAACGTTTTGAGCCTAATTAGTCCATATTTAAACACTATTTACCAAATAAAAACGAACATGCTACGGTAGCCCCAAAATCCAAATTCACCCAACTAAATAAGACAAGGTCTCATTCATTCAACAAACGAAGAAAAAAGAGGACTACTCCTAGTCCTAGATACCCTTATTTTTACCTCTCCAATGCGGTCACTGCTGACCCACACACGTGACTGCATCTGCATTTTCCTCAGCACTTGCTTCCTTTCACACATGTCCCACACCGTCCAAGATCAATGCATTGGTGAATTGAATCCTCTGCCATCGAGACGCGATTCACATTCTCACTCATGCATCAGTTTCTTCTTTTATCCCCAAAAAACTTACGCCGTGTTTCAGTTCAACAAACGAAGAAAAAAGAGGACTACTCCTAGTCCTAGATACCCTTCTTTTTACCTCTCCAATGCGGTCACTGCTGACCCACACACGTGACTGCATCTGCATTTTCCTCAGCACTTGCTTCCTTTCACATGTCCCACACCGTCCAAGATCAATGCATTGGTGAATTGAATCCTCTGCCATCGAGACGCGATTCACATTCTCACTCATGCATCAGTTTCTTCTTTTATCCCCAAAAAACTTACTACCAAACTCCCAAGTATTTTTTTAAAGAAAATATCTTGCCAAACTCTGTTCACATTGGATGAAGAAGAAAGGGATAGCCAGGCAGGGCCAGCCAGACGCACCTTGGTGCCGTCCTGCCTCCACATCTACAACCTATATACTTGATATCTTGATAGCTGAATTTTGCTTGCATGCCGTAGCTGCTCATCAATCCTGCTGTTGATTTCAAGATTTTCCAAAAATTTGATGCTACATGTACGTGTCAGGTAGCATGTCCCCGTCCTGCAGCGTAGAAAGGCTTCCCTCCTTTGAAAAAAAAGGAGTATTGTCAGGTAGTGGCATATGCCGACGTCTTTTCCGTCGTTGTTACATTATTATCTTTCTGTGGCGCTCCCATCTTCACCTACCTGCTTGTGCTTAACCGTCACGGCCCGATTAAACAATCTGCGAGCTCTATGTTAATACTCTTTGTGATGTCGGTGGCCAGAAATACTGAAAAAGGCAGCTTAGCATTTTGTTGAGTCTGAAGATTGGGTCTTCATGATATAGCACCACTTCCTTCCTGGAGGAAAAAAGGGAGAATCTTGGGCATAGAGATCATGGAGGCCCAACTACTTGGCCAATTTACTCTAAACCCAAGAATCTATTCAAGTATTTCGATCCATGATTAGAGAATACTGTTGTTATTATATTACATGCCTAAGATCTTGATCTAGAAAGATATATTACATGTCTAGGATACAATGCATTGATGTGTATCTTGCAACTACTTCAGCATTCAACGATTCTTTAGATGGATCGGGCCAACCAAAAAGGATTTTAAATTAGGAGCAACCACCAAGGCACTTCCAAGGGAACAGCTTATTTTAAGCTCTAGCCACTACTAGCCTGCAGTAGGTAGTTGTAGAGAGCACATCCACAGGCGAGCATTTGGAGACGGGGCGCAACTATCAGATTAAACGACATTTTGAAATCTCGCTCATTCGTTCTTGACCGACATAATCCAGTGGCTTGATTTGAGTTTGCATCTTGTGATTGTGATCATTAGTCCAAATCTTTTTTTTTTTTGATAGCGATAGTCCAAATCGTTATCGCTTGCAGATTTCTACTGGAAGGTTTGGTGTGAACATTCAGCCATCTTGCATGGGCTGGCTTTCAGGAGTCTGATCCAGCCTGAGATCTCTGAAGACCCTGATTAACTCTAGAGTTGGCATCTTTCACTCACACCCGGCATTACAGGCCAGATGTCGTTTTAAGTTATAATCCAGTGTTCAATGCCCCAATTAGAACATTGCACCTAAGTACAGCCAATCTCTTTCAAGGCCTACTTCTTTTTCCCTACTGCACATATAGTGCTGTAGGTTGAGATGTCTCCTACTGCACTGAATGTGCTAGTATTTTCTTTTTGAAAGCAAGCATACGTTTGTCAAACTATTGTTGATAGCTTCTGCCACTTCATTGGAATTGCCTGCATTGCATATAAGCTGCCTTCTTTCATTCGAGAAAAAAAAAGCTGCCTTCTTTGTCTATCAGTTCTTAGACTCCATCTCTTCCCACCTTTCATCCTTCCCGCCTCTTTGGTTCTACTTTCAGACCAGGATACGTGTCGTTTTTGCCTGAGGCAATTTTTAATTAGGTTTTTTCTTGTACTTTTAGCCGTTTTTGGAGATCATGTGTCATATGTTTTGAAGAATATTTGATTAGCATCAACGTGATCCATTCAAAGCAGAAGACATCCATTTTCCAGGATTTGTTGTTTTGTTAACGTTGAGTTGCAGTAATGTATTACTATATCCCAAGCACTAAGCTTTCAAGTTATTCTAAATTTGTACTCATTATTTTCTGTTTATCTATTCCCCTAGAGATATTTTGATACAGTTAGTCAACCATGTACTTGTTTAATATCAAAACGTGATGAGACTTGTTCATTCTGCTCCGCATGTATTTTGGTGGTGTTTTCCATTAGTTTTTGGTCAGCAGGCAATGGCTTCAAACATGCCAATTCTTATTTTCCATCATTATTTTTCAGATCTTACACTAGATGGGACTTATTTGATGTTTCCACCATTCTCTACTTGGGTGCGAGCTGATGGATCTCCACATGAAACTTCTCCTGGCCTCCCTCAGCTGTGTTCTTCTGATGCAAGCAGCATCATGTGGTAAGTTCTACAGTCCTCATGAATGCACTTCTATTTTCAAAGCTGTTGTGACAAAATATTCGTAAAAATGACTAAATATGGAGTGGTTGACAAAAAGAAACAATATCTGATACACTAGCTGTTGTACAGATGGTAGCACAGGCGAAACTGAAACGACAAACTGGACATGTGTATGCGCAGCTCATCCGCTAGGTGGACCAAACTCTAACAGCAGCCTGTTGTCCAATTGTTCTTCATCCTGCCATTGCCAACGAGGTAAGGGCAGTCGATCATATAGCTTCTCAACATCTCATTACACCACAATGCCAGTATGCCACCTGAATTTGTTGCTGCGGCAGATGAAAATGGCAGCACAGGGTCATGGAACTGTACATGTGCGTCTGATAAGGACCTTCAGAAAGAAGAACATGCTGTGCTACGTGCCAGGAGTTGCTTCACTTCCTGTAACTGCACATCTGGTATGTGATAGTTTCTTGTTTAACTATTCAGAATTTCAGATACACGAACTCCATTATGCACTAAATGCTCAAGTGAAACTGGGGTTGCTGAATATGGTCTCCACTACAACTTCAGGAAGTTCAGAGGAGGGGAAAAGGCATGTCTCCAGCAAAACAGTCATGATTACGCTCCTAGTTTGTGTGATTCTCACCACTACTGCTTTCCTTGTCACCACTGTATACTACTTCCGCCGCAAGGATGCTCTCTCTCCACGATCGCAGATATACTCCTTCGATAAATACACTAGCTGGAGCAGCAGATCAAACCTCGTCAGCAATCGATCGTCTCCACTTCCCCAAATGAAACCAAAACCGAGGCTTGGTGTTTTAAAAGGCAAGCTTAACCTATACATTTCCCCTGTCTGAAATTTGAGATGTTGTGCTTGACTGAATTGCCTGAGATAGCTGCATGTGTTTGTTTGAGGACAGTGCATAGCCACACCCTGACTCTTGTTTCAACTTCCTGCTACAGAATTTCTGTGTAGGTGCAATCTCATCTGTGGGGGCGAAAGCGGCACATTCCCTGGTGTCATCATTCGGTTTTCATACGCAGAGTTGGAGCAAGCAACCGGGAAATTCTCAGACGAGCATCTTATTGGAGTTGGCGGATCGAGCAAGGTGTACCGAGGCCAGCTTGGCGACGGCAAAGTTGTTGCCGTGAAGAAGCTTAGGCCCCTAGGAGGTGCAGACGAAGACTTTGAGTTTCTGTCAGAGGTACGCAACACTGCAGACACCAAATTAAAGCAGCAATCATGCCAGCCATTGTAATTCCTCTCTCATTTTCTGACATGTGATAACACGTAGATCGAGCTGCTGTCGAGGCTGAACCACTGCCACGTGGTGCCATTGCTGGGGTACTGCTCGGAGAGCCAGGGCCGGCAGCTGGAGCGGCTGCTGGTGTTCGAGTGCATGTCCAACGGCAACCTGAGGGACTGCCTGGACCTGAAGCAAGGGAGGAAGCCCATGGACTGGCAGACCCGGGTGAGCATCGCGCTCGGCGCCGCAAGAGGGCTGGAGTACCTGCACGAGGCGGCTGCGCCGCGTATCCTCCACCGCGACATCAAGTCCACCAACATCCTCCTGGATGACAAGTTCAGAGCCAAGGTCAGCGGTGATGCATTTCAGTCATCCATTGACTTGGATGACAAGTTCAACGCTGCAAGTTCTGTTATGTTGAGGTTTCGATTCTTGTGAGCGAGTGCAGATCACTGACCTTGGCATGGCCAAGTGCCTGATGAACGACGGCGTGACGAGCTGCAGCAGCTCCCCGGCACGGATGCTGGGCACGTTCGGGTACTTCGCGCCGGAGTACGCCATCGTGGGCAAGGCGTCTCTCAAGTCGGACGTGTTCAGCTTCGGCGTCGTCGTGCTGGAGCTCATCACCGGCCGGCAGCCCATCCACAAGTCGTCATCGACGAGGGCCGACGAGAGCCTCGTCATCTGGGTGCGTGGGCGCGTGGCGTAGCGTATCTCACTGCACGAGTTGCTGGTTCGGTTCACAACACAACAAGCAGGAGCTTAGCGATTGTACATAATGGGCGTGCAGGCGACGTCGCGGCTGCGGGACAGCAGGCTGGTGGTGACGGAGCTGCCGGACCCGACGCTGCAGGGCAAGTTCCCGGCGGAGGAGATGCAGATCATGGCGCACCTGGCGCGGGAGTGCCTGCAGTGGGACCCCGAGGCCAGGCCCACCATGACGGAGGTCGTCCACATCCTCGCCACCATCGCGCCACTCCAGCAGGGCGCCAAGCGCCGGAACCTCCCCATCGCCGCCGCCTTCAACCTCACGGTCAGCTGCTTCTCTCATCCCAGCCACGTACATCTCTTGCAGGCGTTCTGAGTTCTGACATCGCACTCAACTCTGCAGCCGTCGCCGCACGTCGGGAGGTGTGACCCGGAGCCTAAGGACGACGATGACATCGAGAGGCAGCTGCAGCAGCAGGAGTGCTCGCCGACGACGACCGTCCAGTGGCAACAGCAAACGCGCCGCGCGCCGACGTCGTCACCGGGCCGCGCGTCGTGGCCCGGCGACAGGGTGAACGTTGTGGGCAGAGGCGCGGTGGTGTCGGGCGAGCTGGTGAACGGGACGCTGCTTATGAGCCCCCACGGGAGGGGCAGCTGGCGGCCACCGTCACCGCCGCCGCCGCCTGGCGACGAGGAGGCGGTGGACGTGGACCTGACGGAGCCCCGGATGGAGGCGTTCATGCAGCCGGCGGCGTTCAGATGACGAGATGATTGGCAGGATCAGGAGGAGATGGTGGTGGTTCTGATTGGTGCAGCGGCGGCGGGTGCTGTTCATCTTCTTGTTCATGCCTCTCCACGAATCCACTCCACACCTGCATCTGCATCCATGAATGTACAGTACAGGAAAACGCATCTTGATCGACAGGGGGGGAAAATGGTATTGAGATCATCGTGGGATAGGAATATAGGATAGATAGATTGAAATTGGACACGAGATCAATGCCGATAGGATGGCAGTCCTCCATGTCCGAACTGAATCCACAGCGCACGAGGGAGAAAGAGAGATCCGACAAAAACACTCCTCATCTTATATTCCGTCCCAATCAACTACGAGATTTGTCCAAGCCAAATAAAATTAACTTTACCCAAGTGTATAGTAAGATAGTGTCGTGGACAGGAAGAGAGGACGAAGAAGATGACATGTGAGACCTTACAGTGAGTGGAGGGTAGAGGGACATTTTGGCAATACGAAAATAGGTTTCGTTTGTAAATGGGCCCAACATTGTCCAAAGTGTACATAATGACATATTTGAGAGAGCGGAAGAACTATAGTGGCTCATATCCGAATAGGTGAATTGTAGTGGTGTTTTTTTAATCCATGAAAATTGTAATGGCACCGATCCAAATAATCTAAAACACAATTATAAGTATGAACCAAGACACCTAAGAGAATTTTTTAAGAGTCCTAAACTAATTCTTCTCTATTCTTGTATAGGGACATTCTAACAAGAAAATTTTATAATAATTTCTCTTCCTCAATAATTTTCCTATCTTAAATAACATGTAGGATAGATAACATGCATTCCCAAGTTTGGGCGTGATTTTGGATATCACTAATAATATACGATGTTAGATATAAGGACTATAGGAGATTCATTTTTGTTACATAAACCTTAATTTTAATAAAATCTAAAAGACTGGATAAGGGAACCCTTAGAGATGCCCTGGTCAACATAACTTTGAATGCTCTATTAAGATTCAAATGCAATATTAGAACCTCTTAAATTTTTTGCCTCGAATGTAGTGCCCTGCCAGGCTGCGTAGCTACCTACTCCCTCCGTCCCATTGAGTTTGTCGTTGGAAAACCGTGCCCCCCTCACAATCCCGCTTCCCGAGCGACAATCTTAACGGGACGGAGGGAGTATACTACTATTGTGGCAACAAGTAGAGTGATGCTCCTTTACAGCATAAACATGCTATAGTTACTCTTTGCATTGAGGAGATGTGCATCTGTTTGCAGGGGAGCAGAAGGAAATGACTAGGGGCTTGTTTAGATTGTAAATTTTTACAATCCGGATATTGTAGCATGTTTCGTTTGTATTTGACAAACTTTGTCTGATCATGGACTAACTAGGCTCAAAAGATTCGTCTCGTGATTTACAACCAAACTGTGTAATTAATTATTTTTTTTACCTACATTTAATGCTCCATGCATGTGTTCAAAAATTAATGTGATAAAGAGAAAGTGAAAAAACTTTGAAATTTTGATGGGATCTAAACAAGGCCTAGGAGCAGTGAGGGAGAGGAGCCAAACAGCACACGATAGATGGGATAGGCATGGATATGATAGAACAACTTTATGCTATGCCCCTTCACTTTTCTAACGATTTATGAAAATTCCACTACTATCATTCTCTACATTGAATTCTTACATTCTAGTCCTATAACTTCTATTTTTCACAGAACATGATTAGCTATACTTTTAATTGATATTTCGCTTCTCATAACAACCTCTCTGGTATCCTAGGAACAATAGACATACAAATGTTTGTGTTTTATTCGTAGTTAGTCAATTACACATACACTATAGCATGTAGAAATCGACATAAACACCTAGGTGTGCCTAAGATCTAGGCAGAAGATCACCACCCAGAGAGCGTCTAATGCTTTTTTTAACCACAACATCTTCATAGTGTATCAATTTTGTGTCATAAATGCTAGCAACATTTTTCTATAAACTTAATCAAATTTAAAATAATTTAGTTTAAGAAGTTAGAATGACATTTTTTTAGGGGTAGAATGAATTTTTTTAGGGAGGTAGTAGAACAATGGCCAAGGCCCTTTTCTTTTTGCTTTTTTTTAGCAGTTTACATGGTCGTGCGGCAAGCGTATTCCTTGCCATTGCGTGAGAATGGGCTTTATCTCATCGATCATGACGCCCGCCCTGCCTGCACGCACGCGCACCCGAGCACCCGCTCCGCCGCGCCCCGCCGGCACAGCGCGACCGTGAAGCACAGCAGCGAGCAAGGCATGGGATTTTTTTTTTGAAAAAGTCCTCGTTACCGCCATCAACTTTCATAAAAATCCATTTTTCCTCCCTGAACTTCAAAACCGGGTAAAACACCTCCCTCAACTTTTAAAATCGTTCATCTTACCTCCCTGACCCGGTTATAAACGGTTTTGAAGGCAGTTTTATCTTTTTCTTTTTTTATTTATTTCGGCTAAATTTTTTAAAAATCATAGTAAATCATAGAAAAAATTATAAAATGGGAAATCCAATTCTGTTGGACTCCACATGAGTAGATCTACACAGTAAATATATAATATGGTATGCTTTAGTACAAAGTTTTTGCTGTAGCTTTAGATCTATGTTTTTCTGTAATTAAATGAAATAATTTATAGCTACAGTTTGTATGGTTCAATTGTGGTGAAATTTTCATGGTGGGCTAATTATTGTATGCTTAAACTGTAGTAAAAATTTCATAGTCACTGGATCATGTATAACTTAGTTATAGAAGTTATACATGATCCCATAAGTATGAAATTTTTACTACAGTTCAATCATACAATAATTAAACCGCTATAAAAATTTCAACACAATTGAACCATAAAACCTGCAGCTATGAATTATTCCAATTAATTACAGAAAATCATATATCTAAAGCCACGACAAAACCTTTGTGCTAAAGCATACCATATTATATGTTCACAGTGTACATTTACTCATGTGGAGTCCAACAAAATTGGATTTTTTATTTTATGATTTTTTTGGGATTTATTATGATTTTTTCAAAGATTCAGCCGAAATAAATAAAAAAAGACAAAAGACAAAACCGCCTTCAAAACTGCTTATAACAGGACGAGAGAGGTAAGATGAATGGTTTTAAAAGTTGAGGGAGATGTTTTGTCCAGTTTTGGAGTTCAGGAAGAAAAAACGGACTTTCACGAAAGTTGAGGGAGGTAATGTGAATTTTTTTCCCTATTTTCTGGGCCATATGTTGGGCCGGACTGGGAGTCAGTTAGACTGTCTCCAACAGCCTACCCATACACCGACCCACACTCAAAAATGCGTCGCGAACACGAAAAAACCGACGTCCAACAGAGTAGGCATAGCAAGCGCCTATTTTGCGTAGATGGAGAGAGGGATCCCAAATGTACGTCCTCCCTCCGTCTTCTCTCTCCTCAACCCAAATCTCTGACGGAGCGGAGGCGGAGCAGGTGTCTGAGGCAGGGCTGGCGCGAGGAGGATGAGGAAAAGGGAGGAAGGGGCAGGGCAGGGCTTGGGGAAGGAGGCGGCAGCGAGGGCGCAGAGGGACACCGCGACGGAGGAGGCCATAGTGCCGCTGGCGCTGCGAGGCGGGTCCGTGGCGAGGTGCGGCCGGCTCGGCGAGGCGCGCCCATGGCGAGGTGGTTCCACGGGAGCGCGGTCAGGCGGACCACGGCGGGGAGGACTCCTCCTTTGAGCTGGCGGTTGCGGCTGCTGCTCCACTGTGGGCCCCGCCTCACGCGGATGCGGTCCGCCGTCGGTGGAGGTTGCCCTTGCTCACCGGTCTACACTCGCCCCTGCTCGTCGGTCCGCGCCGCCGAGGCTGGCCTAGATCTCGCTAGTCCGCGCGCGCCGAGGTTGGCCTGAGAGGGAGAGAGTAGAGTGAGGAGGAGGAGGGAGAGAGAGAAACAGAGGGGGAGAAGCAGGACGGGGCGGCGACGTAGGGTGGCTCCGGCGGTGCTCTGTCCCAACGCGGAACAAGACATGAGAGAGAGAAGGGAGGAGAAAGCAGAGGAAGCTGAGAAGAAGAAGGGGAGGGATGGAGGGAGCAGAGTAGCGCGACCTCGACGGCAGGGGCGTCGGCGCGGCGGAGGCAGGGGTACGGTGCTCCAGCGCTTGGCCTCGGCGGCGCGCGTACCGAGAGAGGAAGCCAAAGGCGGCGGCGGTAGCAGCGCGGGAGGCATCGGTCCACGGAGGTTCCTGCCATCCCGGCGCGGGCGGCGAGGTGGCCTTGGCCCTCCACCATCGTCGCAGCGGCGAGGTGGCCGATGCGGTGGCGTATAAAGAGAGAAGGGGATGGAGATGGGTGGGCGGTGGAGAGACCAAGGAAGAAGAGGGCTGATTTGCGTTCGCGGTTGGAGTTGCTAAATTTTGGGTGCGGATCTTTTTCCCTGTGTATGATCTAAATTAGAGAATGGGTACTGTGTTTATGTATTTGGAGACAGTCTCAGAGAAGCAGGGACGTACGATCCTCAGCGGACGGCAATCCGTCTCCGAGTGCACTCTAGCGTCGCTCAGGCTCGACTCCGACTAAACCCTCGTCGCTCACTGATTCCACCGCCGCCAACCTCTCCCTCCCACCTCCCGCTGCATCAGCCATGGCGCGCCGCCACCTCGCCTACCCCCTCCACCTCCCGCTCCTCTCCCGGAACCCCGGAGCTCCCACCCGCGCGCTATGCGCCTCCTCATCCAGCCACGAGGTCCCACCCCGAGCCGTCGAGGCCCCGGCGGAGGCGGCGCCCCCCTCGCCGTCGGCGCCCACCAACCCTCCCCGGCGCGAGGAGCCGCTCCACGAGACGATCCTGCACATGATCCGGCGGCGGCCGTGGACGACGCGGCTGGAGAACTCGATCCGCCTGTTCTCGCCCACGCTCGACGCGCCGCTGGTCCACGGCGTCATCTCCGGGGCGGCGTCCGCGGGGCGCGCCGACCTGGCCCTCCAGTTCTTCCGCTTCGCGTACCGCCGGGGCGGGTTCCGCCCGGAGGGCGGCACGTTC